TTTACCTGCAGGTGGAAGAAAGATAGCACACCCAGGTGAAACTTGTCATTATGACTGTAATTCATTGAGTTTGAGTCGGTGAACACAACATGCAGGATCCTGGAGCATTTACAGTGTAAACAGCAGCAACAGAAGCAGGACATTTTAAAAACTGATGGCAGAGCCACCGACATCTGTCACACAACATACTGATCCGTTTCCAACATTGGAGTCTTTAACTTAAACCGCAAAGCCTAAAATACAGGATATTTGTTCACAACATCTCTGTGTTAAAATGAACTATTTACAGTAGTGAGATGGTGGCATTGAGTGAAAGTAAAAACAACAGGTTTGATTCAGCTAAAATGGAAGAGAAAATATGATCCAGCATCAGGCAAAAAATGGTTAAGATGTGCAACTTAAAGTAAAACCAGGTGAAACAAACTTCTCAGGTCATTTCTGTGACTTTGATAATACATAAACAAAAAATGTAAGCAAACATGATCATTTATCAGCAGAAACAAATGCTGACTTTAATGGTTGCATTTCCTGAACAACAGGAGCATCAGTATTTCTGGAGAGCTTTTAAAGTATTTATCTCTGTCCCAGTTTCAGCTGTCAGAAAACAAACATGCAGACAGACATTACCCTGATTTAAAAAAAGATCCAGTTGTTATTTTCATAAAAATGACAAAGTGTGTATTCATTGTAGCTAATATTCTCTATAAATGTCCCTGCACAAGAAACCAGACGCATATTTACAAGTTTAACTTCAGAACCATCTTTAGCTAAAACAAAACAAATCCACTGCATCCTCACAGCTTTCAGTAAAACAGGTTTTACAACTTTAAATTTACACTCTGTGTGTTTGTGGAGCTTTTCTCCACCTTTCAAACATTTTTTATCAAACAGCTACTTTGGACTCAGAAACCCAACATCTTGCATATTTCTTCAACTTCACCTTTAAACAAAAGTATAAACTTTAAATATAAATTATAGATTTAATAACTTTATATACCTTTTAATTTTAACACTCTTAACTGGAAAAATACCTTTCATTTCCATCAAGACCCTCATCATTAAATGTACCAGATCAATTACTGATTCAGTTTGTTGGGCTCGTTGTACTAAGCTTCTAAAAAAAGAATTGAACCTTTAAATATTGTAATCTTAAATCTGGTTCTCTTCAAAACTGTTTGCATTTTGTTATTTTATATTATATGTTGTAAATAAAATTTCTCTTAAATCTCATGGTTCTATGTCCCTTTCTTAAAGTGCCGTTCACTTAACACTGTCAGAGTGAGGTATAAATAAAAATGCAATTCCTGTGCAAATTTTGTACTTGAAATTCCCATCATTAGAATGGAGTTTATTATTATTGTAAATGAAACCAAAATCAATAACATGACATCTGTGCAGCTTTAGGAAGTGGCAGCATTTGGAAATGTCACTGGGTTTTTATCCTGATGGATGTAGAATGAAAGCTATTTCAGTTTGTACAGGGATGAAGTGAGACGAAAAGAAAAAGTTCAGATATTGAGGACGAGTCACTGCGCAGGACAGAGTCTGAGAGAAATCAGATCAGCTGAGCCATCAGTGGTTCCTGCAGGACGTCTGAGGAGAATCTAAATGTTTCAGGTCCAGTTCGGCTCTCATGTTTATATTCAACAAGAAGTTCCTGTTCTGTTTCTCCAAACCATCGCCGGGCCTCACTCCTCACTGATGCCGTGCTCCCACGCCACCTTAGCTTGTTCGTCCTTGGTCGCTGCTATTATGGGCTGGGAGATCTTGCGTGGCATCGGCCGAGGTACAGCCGGGCGCGGCGGTCCGGACTGGGCCATCAGGGGGTCCTCCTCAGGGATGCAGCCCTCTCTGAGGTACGGTTTAGGCGGGAGGGCAGGAGGGGGCTCATGGAGATGGTAGAGAGGTGGATTGTGGGGAATGTAGTGAGGGTGGAAGTGGTGGTGGTAAAACTGGTGTTGCTGCTGCTGCAGCCCATCCGGCTGTGGAGCTCCAGTGCAGCCCAACCCTGCAGCCTGAGGCTGGATCTGGTAGCCCACCTGGGCCGGGTTGACTCCTCCTGGGGCCGAGTTGCTGCGGCAGGGCGGAGATTTAACTCCCTCCAGGACGTCTGGCTCAGACATGCTGTATCTGACGGGCTGATAGGGAGAATCCAAGTCTTCCTGGTCGGTGGTCCAGGCCTGGCTGCTGGGGACGGACTCCAGGGTATCTGTGCGGCTGGCCGGGGGGTCTGAGGAGGAGGTGGCGCCGCCAAAGTTGCTCTCGCTGAGGGAGGAGACCCCCGAGCTGGCGCTGCCCGAGAGTGTGGAGTTACTGCCATCCAGGACGGACTGCGGACTGGTGGGCGAGGCAGGTATAGGGTGCAGGGGAGACTGGGGAGACAGGAAACAGTTATAAAAAACGATTCATGATCATCATAACTGGGTCTGTCTCTAGATTTAATAGAATATTCAAACTGATCAAAAAAAGTTTAAAAAAAATTAAAGGAAGTTGTTTTTATGTGGGATAAGAAACCAAATAATTCACAACAGCAAAATACACATGAAAGTTAAAACCACATCTGGAAAGAAAACAGGAAAACACAGTAATTAGGACAAGAAAATCTATGATTTCCTGTGTCGATCTTCATCTCGTCAGTCTGTTAACTGATCACAGTTTAAAACTCAATCATAACAATTTATGATTAAAAAAGCGCAATACATATATTTGTGTTTCTTAAGGGGAGTAGACAGACATCCAAGCATCCAAACAGCAGGAACTGGGAGCAGCAAATGGAGGAGAAGGAGGAGAAGGAGGGTACCTTTCTTAAGGAGCGCGCAGGGAGAGCTGGAGGGAGGTCGCTGACCTGGTGGTGGAAAGCATCAAAGTGCATCGACAGGTGTTGCCCTACAGGGGGAGACACAGCAGGACTGACTGAAAAAGCCACACTCGCATCTCAGAGGAGGAAGGAGGGAGAAAGATGGAGTGAAGAGGCAAAGAAATGATGACAGAGGGGAGGAGGGAAAAGACAAGAGACAGGGTGAGAGGAGGAGCAGGAGGAAAACTAAATCAGTGAGGAGGTGGAGGAGTGTGTGATGGAGAGGAGGGATTTAAATCTAATCTTTTAAAGTTGATATTTTCTTGACCAAGTCAGGATAGATCTATGAGCTGTACAAAGCATGTTTACATTGTTTGCACAAAATCATTCATACATAATGAGGTTGTAACAGTGCAGTGCTGGTGGAATGTGACTCAACAATCTGGATGTTTTTGAAACGGCTCATTTTCCACTAACACCAACTTATTGCCAAAAAAACATCTGGATATTTTTTTTAATGCTTAGGCTGTTTTTAGAAGCAGTTGAGAAGTACAAAATGTACAAAATGTGAATTTTGCATAATAGATACCTTTAAATAAACACAGTTTTATTGGGTTCCTGCTTTTCCACATGTAAATATCTTATTCTGAGTTCACTTTCTACTTTTCTTTTTAACTCATTTCTGTGAGATTAATTTGTTATCCCAGTGTGGAACATCATAAAGATAATCACAAATGTACTGCAGAAGGACGGGAAGCTTTTATTTGGAACTTCAACTGCAAGAATATAAGTTGAAAAGTTGAAAAAGCATCATGAGGATCTAAAATCAGCATCCACAAGTGAATCAGTGAAGAAATACTCAAGCAAATGAGCAGACAGATGGATGCAGCCACAGCTTCATACCATGAGGAACGTTCCGGGGGGGAACCGGTGGAGCCAACACGCTGCCAACATGGGAGGAGAGGAAAGGCAGGGCCTCCCTGGTGCCGCTGTCCAAACTCCAGCTGCTGGGAGTGGTCAGGACTGCAGGAGACACAGATACAGAGTGGCTTAAAATAGCTGGACCCTTATTTAGTATCATTCATATTTTACAAAGATAAGTGTAAGTTTGGTTACCTTTCTCAGCCACAGAGAGGTTGGGGTCACTGCAGGGCTTACAGGGGCCGATCACCTGATGAAACAAGGCTCTCTGAAAGTTTGGTGGCTGGAAGAAAGACGGAGACCAATGAAGGCAACCACATAGATATGACATTGTCTTAGTGAAGTGCCTTTTGTGGCCAAAACCCTGAAAACTGAAGCTCGTCTTCAGAGATGTGATGTGGGTCGACATAAACTCTGGTTTTTAAATGATCAAACCCTCCATCCTGCCTTTGTACCTGTCCATTCTCTGTGATGTTGGAGTACATGGCGCTGCTCGGCCTCTCTCTGTGGGGCGGCAGCAGCATCAGCATCTCTCTGTTGTGTCTGTATTTGTCTGGCAGAGAAGGAGAACCCACTGGAGTCAAAGATGAACGATTAGATTAGAGAGAAGAAAACAAAATGTCACAAACATCACAAAATACAAAACTTAAACACACAAAGCTTTTTCCTCTATGTGTGTCTGAGGAGTAAATCTCTGTTGCAACAGTTTAGTGCAGTGACTGAGCTGCTCACCTCTCATTGTGGAAGGGGTGGAGTTTATCATCTGAGATGGAGCAGAGTGGGTGGAGCTAAGACTGGAAGAGGAGGGACTGGCCTGCAGAGAGAAACAAACAGTTTATATGTAAAATAATAACTACTGAGGGAGAAACTGATGTTTTCCTGAATAATAGATTAGTATGAAGCTGATGTGTTGAAATGATTCAATGGAAATATAGTGGCATCTGCTGGTAAACCTTAAGCATTGCATCTGCATGAAATAAAGATCAGTAGCACAGCACAGCTGTATAAAGAAACAAAACTGACCTGCATGCGATAGAAATCCTCTGGATGCTCCACCACCATGCCGTCTGCCAGGATCAGCAGGTTTCCTGCCTCACTGGAGTTAGAGGAGAGAGAAGGGGAGGAAATGCGAACTGGAGTCAAAACAGCAATGGGACTGGGAGAGGGAAAACCAGGAATATTATAAATAAAATGAATAAAAGAGGAATTGAGTTAGGAATAGTCAGAAGGAAGATGGACGAAAGAGAGAGGAGCCATGCAGATTGCAGAACAACAAAAAAATAGGCAAAAAGAGGCCAAAACAGCAGAAAATATTCATGCAAGTGAAAAATGAAAATAATCAGCAGCAATCAGAACATGCAAGGAGTCAAACATAGATTGATATCAATTGGGAATGAAGACAGAGAGAGAGAAAATGGTGTAAGTTCAGGAAGTGTGATATGAACAGAAGATTATAAAGGAGAAACAGCAGATGGCAGTGATTAAAGAGAAGAAGCTTTGTGTCTTTAAAACCTGAATTTCTTCAGAGTTTACCTCTGACAATAAAAACTAACTTGGCCTCTGCTGAATCAAATGCTACACATTTTTTCATCCTGTGTGCGGCTTTGGAGGTGAAAGAATGACTACAAGGAAGGAATAAAGCTGAGAAAATTCACACCTTTTCACCTCTAATATGATGAGCCATGAACAAGGTTTGGATACTAAGCTAAAATATCTACCAAAGGTTACTTTAATTTTTTTTTTTGACAATTATTCATAAATCAGACTCTTACTGTACATGTTTTACAAGTTACAAAGTGAGATGTTTAAATAAAAATAGGCAATACTAGCCATCTTTAACTTATTTATGTTCTAAGCTGAAGCTGCAGACCTGCAGTTACTCTGGATGATGATGTGACAGCAGGATTGTGGAACAGATGAATTACAGTGTTAAAACTCACTGAAAGGTAATACTAAGCTGAACCACATGTGTGTGTGTGTGTGTGTGTGTGTGCGTGTTTGTGTGGTGCAGACCTGTGTCGGTGCACGAGTTTGAAGCTCTCTGGGCTCATGGGGTTGTGAGAGGCCAGGATCCCTCTGTTGACTCCAGAACCAGACTTATCAAAACCAGGTGGGCCCTGAAACGCAACATAGAAGCCCTGCTCCGATTATTCATACCGCTCCTTCATAAACACACATTCTGAGATTAAAATCTGAGAAAATTACATCAAAAAGGCTTTTCAGAAACATTCATGGCTGTTTTGGTCTGACCAGGCAGAAGTTTAACACCTGAAAGAATCATTTATAAATTCAGGAGGTGAAATGTTCAAAGTTGAAAGAGTTTAGACTCAAAGCGGTGATGTCTTTGCTTCAGGCAGAAGAACATCCTCTTTGAAGATCCAGCTAATTAGGCTCCTTCAGCACATTGATTCATCCTCCATGATATGATAAAAGAAACCTTCCTCCAGACACATGGCTGATTTAGATTTGTTTCATCATATTAAGGCTTGTAAAAAGCTCACAAAGTTACTACTGAACAATAGGTCTGCTTCAGATTCTCTCCTTACATCATTTCTTTCAAGCATGGATGATA